GGGGGGGCACAATTTGCGCGCATAAGCGCGCAAAAAAAATTTTTTGGTCCCCCCCCGTGCAATTTGAAAACAAATCCGTACAATCCGTACAATCCGTACAATTTTAGGGTTAAAAAAAATCAATCCGTACAATCCGTACAATCCGTACATTTTGGCCACCCTGTAGGCTCAATAAAAATGTCTAGAATATGCTATATCACAAGTTGTATAATTTGACCAAAAATATTAAAGATTGTTAAAATTGTAATTTCCTAGTTCTGTTGCGACCCTTTTCAGATTACTGAAAGTTATCTTCCCTGTTTCATCATCATCAAACAGTTTAAAAGCCTGAAAACAAACAAAATAATATATTTTCTGCAAATCATATTATATTACAAAGATTTGTGTACAAAATAAAAATGGAAGGAGAAGTTCTGCACAAGACTTTTACATCCCCTTCACCCCTTCCCTTCAACCCCTTCCTCTCAACCCCTTCCCCTCAACCCCTTTCCCTAACACTGATACTGATACACTGATACTGATACACTGATACTGACACACTGACACACTGACACACTGACACACTGACACACTGACACACTGACACACTGACACACTGACACACTGACACACTGACACACTGACACACTGATACACTGATACACTGATACACTGATACACTGATACACTGATACACTGATACACTGATACACTGATACACTGATACACTGATACTGACACTGACACTGACACTGACACTGACACTGATACTGATACTGATAATGGTTATGATAATATTGGGTATTGATAAAAATAACAATAATAACAATTTGTAATGCCAGACAGAATGATTATATATAAAGAAAATATTAATATTAACCTGTCTGTATCCACATCCTTTAGCATTTTCTTGATTTCTTCTTTCCTTGGTTCAAACCCCAGTGCTCTCATGGCAACCTGGATACAGTCAGATATTTTAACTAAGAGTAGAAAAGTTTTATATCATTAATCTTACATTTTCAATATTGTTAGAATGAAATCGAATTCATTTGAGCGATTTTAAAATCTAATTCTTTAAATATATATAGTCGTTTTCTAGCTCGCCTGTTGATCTAGATATAGGCGACTCTAAAAGGGATATCCAATATTCATAGATGAAGGGTCAAGGAATACAGTTGGGAAATATTTAATGGTAATTGCTTTATTGTGATATTTGAAACGGAATGAAAATTCGACACTTCGTCTATAAATTCTTTCAGTTGTTTTAATATTTTACCTTTAGATCTTTTGTATCTATAAAACCTGAACCCTGGGTGTCAAATAACGCAAATGCTTCCTGTTCAATACAATATCTCTAGTCATATTAATGATATAACATTTAGTAATAGTTTACATTGGTCGAAAACTGGGAAAATACGAAAAATTACCACCCAACCACTAAACATCTTTTTAAACGAGTTTATAACTTTCATTACCCTTATCCACATACTTAGAACAAAGTTAATAACCAGGAGCATTTTCAGGACTTTTGCGAGGGGAGGGTTCTTTCTATCAGGAACATCCGTAGGATATCAGGGACACCAGGGGGTATTGTCAATAACTCCCCACCCCCCAAAAAAATGAAAAAATAAACTGAGAATAGTTTTCCTTGATGTCAGATTTCTGCTCCTCAGTCAGGTCTGCCTTTAATTTGGTCATACTTTAATTTTATTATTTGGAAACAGAAGACAATTATTATCATTATTCTTCGAAAGGTGAAAGGTTCTTCTCCCAATAAAATGTTTCAATGGGATTTTCCAAGTAACAAGTAGACAACTTCTCATTAAAATTAATTTTACCAATAACACTTTCCCAGATCCAACGGTCGGACCCCTAGTTTATCCTAGCCGCAGCATTTAGCTAAGAAAATGTCTAGACCATGGTTATTCCCAAAAAAATTTAGGTCAGGCTTTTAGGACCTATAGGAGACATGCAAATTTCAATTTACAAATTCGAGTGAGGAGTTGCGAATATTTTAGAACATTTTGTAAGTTTTAAAAGAAATAAATAACAATGAAAACCTGCCAATTTTTTATTTTTATTGATGTAGAAACATCCTGAATTGCAAATTTTTCCCTACAATTGACCTGGTAATTATAACCTGTTAGTCCCTGATCTGAACCTAATCCATCATTATCATTATGTTTCCTCCTTTTACCAGGAACAAGCATTCATTTGGAAAAAGCTGGCATCGAAAGATGTTCATTTGGGAAAATGTCAATAAAAAATGTGCGTCTTTTTTCAAAGCATTTTTCAAATTGTGAAAATGCTTTTGGAAAGTACCTAAAACCGTAGAACCCAAAGTTTGTATAACTCGTGTCACGGGCAGCCGAAGTACATTTAAATTTCTGAGCCGGGTCAACCTTTCCGGTCCCAGTTTGTACTGTATCGCCCGGTCATTGGGTAAAGAAAGAAGACACTTAATAGGACTAGTTGGTGCAACAAGCTTGACGGGGTCAGACATTAGGTTGAACTTACTTTTACTAAAGGGTCAGGGGTGCGTGGTGTGACACATACAGAAGTTAAAGGAATTTACCCTTTCAAATAAGTTTCTCACCCTCTTCTCACAAAAAATTAAAATTAAAATTAAAATTTAAGTACCAAATATTCATTGCTCAGAACATTTTAAACAAACATTTATTTGTGACGTTTTTTTACATGATTTAACTTCCAAGTCAAGTTGTTAACGTATTATGTTCCACCATATACAACCTTAATCCAGTTTCTCGCTTTTTTAATTCAAATTTATTTTGTTTTTAAAGAACGATAACTTTGTTTAAACTTCCTAGATTCATTTCTGAACAGGGGCGTACGAGGGCTTTTGTTTAGGGGGGGGGGGCACAATGTGCGCGCGTAAGCGCGCAAAAAAAATTTTTTGGTCCCCCCCCTTGGCAACATTGGTCCCCCCCCTTAAAAAACCCCTTTTTTGAAAAAATATTAATACCTTTTTTAATTTTTTTTTGCCCCCCCCCTCTCCCACCTGAGGGGGGGGGGAGGGATAATTGAATTCAAAACTTAAAACGTGTAAAATCAAAACTAAAATTTAAAATTTAATATTTAATGTGACTGCTGATTTGTTAATTTTACGTACAGTGTCAAGTGTACAGCATCGATAAATCAAAGGTTAACGTAGCGAAATAGAAAGTATAACTAATATATCCACTGTGTGGTGGGTTGTGTTAACTAGTCAGGATTAATTATTGATTAAACAAAACAATCAATAAATTCAGGGAACATATGTTCCAAAACTAACACTTGCCCATTTCTAACACCGAGTGTTAGAAATGGCCACAAATTGAAAGACTATGTTTTTGGGATCCCGGCCCATGTCCATTGTCCAGAGTCAAAAGTCAATAGTAAAAACCAGTGCTTAGGGTCCATTTGATTTTGATGCGGATCCGGATCCTGGATCCGCACTGAAAAAAAGGATCCAGATCCAGTCATTTCTTTGAGATTTACTAAATCTTGTTTAACAAAAATAAATTTGTTTTCCTATTTTTTCGCTTATTTTAATCCTAAAACTTGTTTCAGGGATATGTTCGAAAATGAAATCAAGAATCATCAAAAACTAATTCTCACACCTTATTATTAGTTTAAAATTGACATTTATGTATAGTTTTAGCCTTTATTTATTATAAATTTATCAGTGTTTCGGATCCGTATCATTTTGATGCGGATCCGGATCCGGATCCGCGGATCCGCATCCGTGATGATGGATCCGGATCCTGACTCTGATACGGATCCGGATCCGAGATAACTTTTGATTCTGTGAATCGGATTTTCCGTATTTTCCCTTTTTCCTATTTTCCTATTTTCCCTGAGTAATCCTAAAGTTAAAAATGTCGTCATTACTATTATATAAATGTAAACATTAAATTATTAAAGATAATTTTGAAAAATTTTCGTCATGTATATAATACATTTACGAACCATTTTGATTTATTTATTCCATGGTTTTGGTTAATTTTTGGCGCTACCCGGATCCATATCAACGTTTCCTGATACGGATCCGGATCCGACCAAATGATACGGATCCGACCAAATGATACGGATCCGACCGGATCCGGATCCGAAACGCTGAAGTTTATGGTTAAATTTTGTTCTACTCGTCTTGGATTTAAAGATATATACCCTTAAAAAGATAACTTTGCAGATTTGGCCCATTTCTAACAATCAGTGATGCTAAAAATGGGCCAAGTGTTAGTTTTGGAACTAATATCCCCTGAAATTGTTCAAACAAATTTTTATTATTTAAATTTAATTTGTCCTTCTGTTAAAAAAAAGTTTACTTAACTTCAGAATCAATAAAATAAGTTATCAAAATATTGCTCTGTACATTAATTATCGGAATTAATCAATCAATCACTCAATCGATTTCGAATTTATCAAGAATTTCTTTCATCCGATTTAATAAACAACATTAAAAAAAAATCAAAATCTAAATTACTCTCAATAGTCAACATGAATAATACATTTAAATGTAATAATATTGATACTTATAGCAGTCAATATAAAACTGTATGAATTATGCCCCATCAAATTTTTAACAAAAAGTTTAATTTCCTTAGCTCCGTGTTTGAGGATTCTAGTGAACTCTACGTAGTCAAACATTCCATTCTACACAGTTTAATTGTGAATAATAGAGAAAAAAAATCACAAATTTAGACAAATAGGGAANCCCTACTTTAATAACTGATCCAGCTAGTGCTGATAAAGGTTATTAGATATTTGGTTAACCACTTCAGAACTCTATTATTTTCTTTTCCTTGATTGGGGCCTCACGATACATCTCATCCACATCTTCATCAGTAAACCTAGAATATAAGTTTTCTATTTACATTTACATTATTTTCTACAGTGCAATGTTAACAGCACATTGTACACTGTATGAGCTAACCGAACTCCCCCCCCGCATAAATCTGTAGATGGAGACATGGAACAGGGGGGTTTTATGTACGACGTACCTATGTCCTTCAAAACAAAATAAGACTTTAAAAAAATGATAATTTTCCTGTTAAATTGAACGCATGATCGAAGTGAAACTACCCGTAAGTAATGAGCAAACTAAGAGATGAAACTACCCGTAAGTAATGAGCAAACTAAGAGTTCAAAGTTGAAACTAGAAGAAGAGCACCTGTCTCCTATAGTAGTTAGAAGCTCCCTCAGCCTATCCTCGTGCATCATCCCCTGGTTCTCCTCGTCGAAACATCCAAAAGCATTCTTAATAACCTCTTCAGGATCTGTTCCCTAGATACAGGGGTAGATAATTAGATATTAGGTACAAAAATAGACACATAAATAGAGAGATTGATGATGCATAGATAGAGGGATGAAGCAAACTTAGATGAATTAATAAATAGTGATGGATACAAAATCATTTAAAAACACAAACTTTGGTCGAGATAAAATTGGTAAAATAAGTATATTCATTTGTTTGTATGCTGTATGTTGTTTATTATTAGTGATGGCCGCGTTCAAAAAAATTATTTCGTTCGTTCTCAAAGTTATCGTTTATTTTCCGACTATTTCGTTCGTTTTCTCACTGAATCATTGCATTCAGTAAAATAGTTCGCTAAGGATTAATTAAGGATAGTTTTTTTCAAAATCCTTCGGAAAATTCGTTCGTTCAATAAAAAAATGATTGGTTTTTAATATCGTCTCAACGATCTAAGTCGTTCGTCCATAGTTTGTTTTATTTATGAACTACACCATCATTCACTGAACTCTAATTACTTTTAATTCTTTGAATTCTTAATAAGTTCTAATGCCAATTGTTAAAATGATTTATTTTAAATGTTTTTGGAATGCTCTGAAGGCGTTTTAACATGGGCGGAGAATTTCAGATTTAAAAAAAATGTAGATACGATATAAATAGATTTAAATATATAATATGTTAAAATCAACGAATATATTAAGAATTTAAGAATAGTATTGCGCAGAACTAACCTGCAATCTTTCTCCAAACATTGTCAGGAACATCGTGAAGTTAATTGGACCTACACAGTACATATTGCACAAAATATTCTTCATTTTGGTTTTATAATCTTTGTATTGTTTATAAAACTGTACGTTAAGGTTAAATTGGTTCAGCGTAAGGATCGAAACTTGTGGCAATTCTACAAGTTTGATTAAATTGATTACCAGACTGATCGATTTAATAATGAAATGATCATAGTCACCTGGAGCCTCGTTCATCATCTCTTCTAGATAATCATCAGTTGGATCCTAAATATTTCAATAATGTTCAAAAGTTTTAATTCCAAATTTCTAACAATTCTCATAAAAAAGTACATAAAAATAAAATATTGATGATTCAAAAAGTTAACACAAGATGTAATTGATTTTCACGATAACAAATATTTCCGAAGAAATAGAATACATTTTTGGCTGGATCTGTATCCATTTTCTGATTTATTTAGTTCCAAAATCCGCGGATTCGATTCATAATGATGTTATCCCCAACCTTGCCGAGAGAAGCAAGCATATCATGAAGATCTTCCTTGTCAATAAACCCATCTCGGTTGTGATCGATCATATTAAAAGCTTCCTAAAAAATAAAGGTATATCAATAAATATTTGTCAGTTGTTAGAAACCAGACACCCAAATTGATTGTTGTTAATAAAAGAATTCAATGTTACTTGAATTACGTGGACAGTCCCTTTAAGAAAATAATTTTTTTATTTTCTCCTTTAAGGCGGTCAAAACCGCACCATTTCCCGTTAAATAATAGTTCTAGTGACCTACAACCGTTTGCAATATTGTTTCAGGTGTTCCCACACAATAGTGCCCACTGCATAATATATATCGATCAGTTAGGCAACCAATCAAGCAACCAATCAAGCAACCAATCAAGCAACCAATCAAACAACAAATCAAACAACCAATCAAGCAACCAATCAAGCAACCAATCAAGAAACCAAGCAAGCAACAAATCAAGAAACCAAGCAAGCAACCAATCAAGAAACCAATCAAGCAACCAATCAAACAACAAATCAAGCAACCAAGCAAGCAATTAATCAAGCAACAAATAAAGCAACTACGTAACCAAGCAAGCAACCAACTACCCTACCAACCAATAAATAAAACAATATCCAAGAAATCAATCAATCGATCACTATTGTTTAAGAATAGAACCTTGAACTCCTGAATCTGGTCCTGGTTGAACATGGCGAACACATTGCTGGTGGCTCTCTGGGCACGCTTCTTAGTTGTTCCTCGACGGGTGGCGGTCTTTCGGGAGGACATTTTTATTCTGGAAAAAAGATAAAGTTTATATCATTCTGTTCTGAGCACACTGCGATTTAATGGTCTCACGCTCTCAAGCAAAAATCGTTGAGAATTTTGCCAATAACTTCTAAAAAACCACATCTAACAACAAGTGCTTTACAGTTCTAAAATGTACATGTAAAGGGCTACAGAAAAGCATAAGTGAGTTAGAGCGGTAAAATTTAAGCTTAGGGCGTTGCGACACTTCAAAGTCAGCCCTGTCTTAAAAATTGATGAGACTGTTTATAAGGAGGCTGTATCTATGTGAGCAGTTGACAAAAGACTGTTACATTTCCTTTATTGCATTTTTTTTAAAATTAATTTATAAATGAAGAATTTAAGAGAAAATAAAAATAAAAATAAAGTTTACAGAGAACTATTTAGCTGTAGAATTACAGGGCTCAGTGTTGAATAGACTTTCTAAGTGAAAACAAAGTTGATAAAGTTTGTTCATTTGTTGCAAAAAATCAACGATTGCTTAAAGAACTACACCGGCTTATTATCCAAACCTCACCTCCTTTTCTTAAATTCTAGGTTAAAATCTAAAAAAAAGATTGATTTCTATAGTTCAGGCAAAATGTGCCAAATATATATATTGTAGTTTAGTTAAATGCTGTAATATGAAACGATAAAGAAGTAAATTTTCTTATCAGCAATTTTTAGCAGAAATTATTATTCTTTTTCTATTTTAATAATATGTTTTAGTTTACTCAAAACTAGTCTAACAGGACGTTAAATAGGACGTTAAACGGGACGTTAAACAGGACGTTAAACAGGACGTTAAACGGGACGTTAAACGGGACGTTAAACGGGACGTTAAACAGGACGTTCAACAGGAAGTTCAACAGGACGTTAAAAGCGGGAGGTTAAACAGGACGTTAAACAGAACGCTTCACGCAAATCTTTCTGGAAAAAATCTTTGGTTTTAGTTTTTGATCTATCTGCAAGACTTTCTGAAAATTTTGAATTATATTAATAATAATTAAGATTTCCGAATAAACCCTAGACCCTATTTAATAAGTTTAAGATCGGAAAAAAACGTTAAAGTTAAATTTAAAAGCTTAATATATGGTAACATGCAGTGTTTCTTTTTGTTTCACATTGATTTATTTAAATGGTCGCTTTTATATCGTTGGTTTAATCAATCCAGACCATGTACGATATCATTTTTACTTCGAATTCAAACGTATAATAGGATGGGCGAAAATTATAAGCTATTTCTTTTAAAAAAGCGAAAGTTGGGAGATTACTTAAAACACTGTCCTAAATTATGATAACAGATTTGTGTTGTGTAAACAAAGATCATGAAAACTAATTCTAAAACTGATACTGCCTGCCCCTGCCTACTCCATGTGAAGACCCGGACACCCGAATACAAGCACGCATTCCTAAACTAACTGTAACCTGTTCTAGGCATCTCTATGAGTCACCGCAAGATCGCAGTTCTACCTTGAATAAAAACTTGATAAATTAAAATCAGAAAGTTTTGTTCATTCACTTGTCCTTCGCATTTGGGGTCTCATATTTTTTTAAATAAAAAAAAGGAAACAAAATTTCACTTGTATTTGCTCGGTCCTATAAAATTACAAAAATTATAAAAATTATAAAAATATAAAATTTTAACAAACAACCCCCCCCCCCTTNATAATGATTCTCTAAAAAAATAGTTTTCCATCCTAAACATATTTCAGATTTTGTAAAACCTTTTTCATTCTGGAAAATTTAGCAAATTTTAATTAGATCGACTAAATGTGCATTGTTAAGTCCATTGTGTTTGTGCATAATGCTGTGAATTGTATGGATAAAAATTAAATAAGTATACAATTTTCTGCCAGATTCCTCATAATTATAATATGTTTATTGTTTAAGCTTTTTTATTATTTTTTATTTTCAGAATAAAACATGTTTGAAATTTGTTATTCACTGAAGGAGCTATAGATTAGAATAACAGGAGAACAATATTTATTTTTAGCTACTGTGTCTTCATATGATTTTTATATAAATACAAAGCCTGAAAAATTTAATTTTTTTGCAATCAAACCCTTAAAAAAAGTACTCTTTTTAAAAAAAATTTTCGCGGAACGGGGGGGCTAGCCCCCCCGTTACCCCCCCTAATAACTTTCAGATTTCGCCCCCCCCTCAGAAAAGGCCTAGTTGCGCCACTGTCTGGAATACTTAAAATATTTGTTCAAAAGAACTAATTTTTTTCTGTAATTAATTAGTGCAGTTGAACGTTGGTGCAATTATGAACATTTCAAACAAGAAGTTTGTTCTAACTGACTAAAATGTTTTTTTTCTGTAAATATTTGTGCAATTGGACAGTGCAAATGAACATTTCCAAAAAAAAATTTAATCAAGCGGACTTGTATGTTTTTCTGTATTAGTGCAATTGAACATTAGTGCAAAGGAATATTTCCAACAAAAAATTTGTTCAAACGGACTATACTGATTTTTTTCTTAAATAATTATAATTATAAATGAAATTTAAAATTTTATTTCGATTGAACTTTTTTGTTCATTTGCACAATAAAGCTTATGTTCATTTAAAAACTAATTAGGGTAAATGTGCAAAATGATGAAATTTTAGATTTAATAGTTAATTGAACATTTTTTTGTTCATTTTCACAAAAATATGTTTATTTGTACAAATTAAGGTAAATGTGCAAAATGGTGAAGTTTAAGTATTTAATGAAATTTTAGATTTTTATAGTTGATTGAATATTTTTTTGTTCATTTGCACATAAATATGTTCATTTATCAAAACTTCGTTTTTGCCCACACTTATAGCTTTAGTACAATTGAACAACTTTTGTTTATTTCTGCTAAAATATGTTCATTAATTAAATGAGCCGAATTCCGCTAGAATTTAAAACAGGGTGTCGAAAATTGCGTTTTTTTTATTTTTTTTTAAATGCAAAAAGTGACAAATTTTGATAAAAAATAACAGAGGAAAAGAAAAGAGAATATTTTATTTATATTATTATCTAACACATTGATAAAAAAATTTCAAAAATTTGATAATTTTTTTTTTTGACAAATCACATTTTTTTTTGCATTTTCCTCGCTAATATGTATGGTGGCCGGTTCTAATTTGAAAATAATATGTTATATAATTACCTAGGAGCATGATATGAAGTCAGCTTACCGATATCTCTTTCCGGAGAATTGGAACCTCTGAAAAGTGGCCTCCGTCGGCTTCATTTTTTTATTTCCTGCCTCGTTGGACATAAATAGACCATTTTTTTAAATTATACTTCCAATGGTCCATAAAATGCATGAAAAAATTATTTAAGTTTATGATGTTAAAGCAGGGTGTCGGAAAATGCTTTTTTTCGATATTTTTAAAAATGAAAAAATGGACAAGTTTTTACTAAAAATATCGGAGGAAAAGGAAAAAGAAAATATTATTGTTCTCTCTCAATCGCCAGAAATTATTGGAAAATTCCCACACCCCTGCCAAGAAAATATAATTATTATAATATTTTGTTATTTGTGGAGTGAATGTAACTATTGTTTTTCCTTTTCTATCAGTTTTTTAAAGTTTATGAAAAAATGGCAGAACTTTATAAGGATAGCTGTGGTTTGCTTAATTATCGCTATATTGCTCAGTGGCGTAAATAAGGGGGGTTATTGGGGTTATTTACCCCCCCCCTAGAATCCTGGGGGTAAATACCCCCCCTAGAATCCTGGGGGTAAATACCCCCCCCTAGAATCCTGGGGTTAAATACCCCCCCCTAGAATTATATTTTCAGGCCATGAATAGCAGGGGTTACTCCATTTGCTGCCTCTACAAGTAACAGTTCCAGTTGCCTTGACCCCTTCCATTCAAAAAAAAAATGCATTCACATTCCCTATTGATTAGTCTGCACTTGTGTAAAGACGACTATTTTCATGATAGTAAAAGTTTTTGCGGCATTTTGCAGATGCTTAAACTTTTAGTTCGGTTACTTCAGCACAGTTCACTCACACACAACTCGTCATAATAAAAAATATATATATGAGTTAACTTCCTAAAATACGATTTTTGGACCCCCCTCCCCCTCCTTTTGTACATGGATATCATATCATATGTAAGACAATTTTTGAGCCAGCTAAGACTCTGAACATGCTGATTTTTTTATGTCTAGCTTTAAAATTTTATTGTGCAATAAATATAAAACAAATCGAACCCTTGTTTCTGTCCTAGAGAACGTTTTTGTGTCCCCCCCCCCTCCCTCCTGTAAATTTTTTACTTTTTTACTTTAATTAATCAAAAATGAAGATATTCTGAACAAGTTCTTAAGCGCCAAGCCGCGCCGACTTTATAATGGAGGAAAGAGTTGTTACTTTGTTTTTGTTTTTAAAAAATGGTTGATTTTAAAATTAAATATCTTTTAAATTTGCACGAAAACAATTAAAATGTTCACTGTGCAGATACGTCGGAATCAGATATTTCAAATTTTAAGTCAACGTATTCTAAATGATTCTAAATTCTAAAGTAATAGTCAATGTCATTAAAATTAGATGTTTTTTAATAGAAAAAAAATGGTGTGGACAATAAAAAAACATTTTTATTTCTTCTTATAAATAATGTCATTTCCACATTAGATTTCGTTAAGATCTTAACATACTACATTGACGACAAGAAAATTTAACAATGAGTAATGACCATATTTTTTCAAAGTTTTGCAGAGTAGCTTTTCTAAAGATTTAAAAAAGTAACATCTTTTTCCTCTTAGAGTAAAACTATCATTTTTTATATTACTGCCTTTTTGTCAATGTTTGGAAAAAGTTTAGTTAAACTTGAATAAATTCAGTTTTTTTACAGATCTTTGTAGTTAATGTAAAATGAATGACTATAATGAAAGATATAAAACAAGGTGAAAGCTGAAAGGTATGTCATGAAGCCTTTATTAGATTGAGTTTGTAAATCCCAGAAATGAGTGGAAAATGCAAATCAACCCCAATTAAAACCAATAATTTGATATACATCATGATATTTTTCTAGGGGGGGGGGAAAAAATTTCTTGGCCAAATTAAAAATATTTACCCCCCCCCTACAGAATCCTTATATCCGCCCCTATTGCTGTAATTTGGAAATAATCCAGAAGAACTGTAATGGAAGAAAGTCAACTAACGTACAAAATTAAAGATTCGTTTACCAAAGGGATTATTGACAAAATTTGAAGTGGGGATTAAATTTCAAACCGACTTAACAATTTTTACAAATGAAAAGATATTTTTCTTCTTAACTCTTTAAATTATACAAGTGTTTTTAGATGGATATTAGTTGAAATCGCTGTCAATAAAATGATCTGATAAAGACTAAGGATACTATGGACTGTGGTTTGTTGATGGCACAATTAACAAAAGGCCAATTAAAATTTCGTGGACAATCCCTCTAAACATTAAGTTGTGTATTTTTCAAAATTTCTAAAAGGTCAATTACATAATCTTCTCTGTATTTTATTGTTAGTTTATCTAACATTGTCTAATTAATAAAGATAAAATGCTGAGGAAAATCATATTTTCTGAAATATATAATTTAATTAATTAATTAATAGCTGAATACAGATTTACTTGTAGAAAGGAGAATAACAAGACAAGACACTGAAACTAATTAACTGACTAGATTTTGAGATCTCAGAAAACATTTAAATTATTGACATAACAAATGCAGAAAATAAATAAGCATAAAAATTATTGACTTTTGGTTTGAAAAATTAAAAAGTCCCTTAAGAGAAAAAAACCCCGTGTAATAATCATAAAAAATACTCTTAAGGTCCATTGACAGTTTGTTTGCAGGATCTTACATTCAAATTATTATATTGTTTTGTCTATGTCTGTTTAAAGTTTAGAAAACAGACAGAACATTTTCTTGTTGTTTACTAGACTGTAGCTTATAACTATATCAATTCTTTTACAGGATGCCGTTTCTTCTTGTGTAATTTCAACTTGTATTTTGAACAGGCACCATAGCAGCATTCATCACAAGGAAACCGTATACGTTCATGAACACGACTTTTGTGTGATAACAAGTTCTTCTTCGTCGTTGTAATGTGTTCACATTCGTCACATTTAAACCTAATTCCCTCGTGAGCTACCTTGGAGTGTGCTTTCAGTTTGTATGGAGTACTAGTAGAGTACTCACACTGATCACACATATACTTTACTCCTCTATGCTTGGTGTCTAAGTGTTGTCTCAAATTACTTCCACAGTTTCCAATATATTCACACTCATTACAGGGAAACTTGATATTATCATGGACTCTTCTCCTGTGGAGCAGAAGGCTGGCGGAAAACATACATTCGAACGCGCACTGGTCACACAGATATTTTAAGCAATCGTGATTACTCTTCATGTGTGATTTTAGTGCAGGCAGATCAATAGTTGTAAATTCACACTTGTTACAAGAGTGCTGGGTGTGAACACCTTCATGATGTTTAGCCTTGTGTAATCTCAAACTACGGGGTAGCACACATTCATATGTGCATTCATCACATTGGAACTTTAAACAATTATGCTCCGCCATCATGTGCACTTTTAAATCTTTTATCATGGGTGTGATAAAATCACATTTATTACAAGAAGTCCACCTACACCTACTTTCTCCGTTTTGACCGACAGAGCCCGAAACTGCAGGTTCAGTAGAGTGAACGCTCAGTTTATGAATTCTAAGTTTTTTCTTGCTGCTCTCAACTTGTTCACAATAGTTACAGTGGTGGAAAATACTTGGGCGTCGTTTATGAGCTTTGTTTTTGTGTTCTTTTATATTCGCCCAGGATTCTCCAAAAAATTCACATTGATCACAGGGGTAACTTCGAACCGGAGCTCCTGAAATTCATAATGTTTTAATTACTAACGCAAAAACTTCATGAGAAATTTGTTCTTGAAAAATATTTTTCGCATCCCACCAACCACCTTTTTTTTAAATTTTTTTCTAGCGTAAATTATATTTGCGATCTACCATGCTGGATTCAGCGACTGAACTCAATATTTTCAGTTTAAACTTTTTAGGATTCCAAGGGGGATATAATCCGTCAGAGCACTGAAGCCACAGATTTAAGAAACAAATGTCTTACCCTCTGACCTCCTTTTGATTTTTACATGTTTTTATGATAAAAACTTACCATTTTTAAATTTTTTTATTCCTGAATGGAATCTTTCCTTGTGTCTTTGTAGATTGTATTTATAGTTTGTTGTATATTCACATTCATTACAGGAAAAATCTCCAGCTTTACCGCCTAAACAAATATATCTAAAGTGACTTTATTTATCATTCTAAATATGAGATAGCTGGTCTCTATTTATGGAGGGTCACTTAAAACCACAGTTACAAGTGCAGCAAACATTATGAAAAAATATATAAAATAAAGTTCATACCAGGAAACATTATGAAAAAAGTATATAAAATAAAGTTCATACCAGTAAACATTATGAAAAAATATATAAAATAAAGTTCATACCAGTAAACATTATGAAAAAATATATAAAATAAAGTTCATACCAGTAAACATTATGAAAAAAGTATATAAAATAAAGTTCATACCAGTAAACATTATGAAAAAATATATAAAATAAAGTTCATACCAGTAAACATTATGAAAAAATATATAAAATAAAGTTCATACCAGCAAAATTTATGAAAAATATAAAAAATAATATTTATACCAGCAAACATTTTGAAGTATAAAAAGTAATTTTAAAAAATTCTATATTTTTTTTAGTCTGAGTCACCCCGAGGGTACCATGGGTTTTCACAATAAATGTCAGCCAATTTGGTTCAGCCGTTTGGCCGGCTATAGCTAACATACAAATGAGTGAAGAGCTTTATTATATAGATCATGTTTCTACCAGCAGCCATTATAAAATGTTGTTAAATAAAATAAAGTACATACCAACATTTACTTTCATTCCCGGATGAATCCTGTGCATGTGTCGTTGTAGATTCCTCACTTTTCCAGTGGAAAACTCACATTCACTACAGGATATCTGTCCCTTTATTTCCCCTGCAAGAAAAACATTTAAAATATATTGAAGTAGGTTCAAAAAACGAGCATTGTTATCAAATAATATTTTTAACTTGGGAGATAAGTATAACGGATAGAAATAATTTCATGGAATATTTTTGTCTACATTTCCCCTGAAGATTCGAATCATATCTTCTAGGTTGATAACCTTGGTTGAGGGTACGAGTGGATTTGTCGTTGTTGTGTGTTGTGGGGGGGGGGGGGTCAGGGGGATTATTCATAAAGAATCATACCTGTTTTCTTTCCCTTAGCAATTCTTACTGGGGCCATTTTTTCGTGGAATTCTTTGTTATCTGACATTGGTAATGGTTCGTCTTTTTTTGAACCCGGATTCGAAAAATCCACCAAACAAACATCAGCTGACAGCAGAATATCCCTCTCCTCCTCAACCCCCTCATCTCTGATTGAATGATGGTATTCTGAACCTTGATCTGAGTCTAGTTCCTCCTTAAGTTTACTGATCTCAACCTTAACCTCACAACCCACCCAGGCTCCGTTCTCCACAACTAAATCAGCAGTTCAGAAATATTTTTTAATCAGTCATTTTCTCATCACTCTACCAACCAATGATAACATTCATACAAAAATGCATTTTAATATTTTCCTGCAATTGGGAAATGCTCTAAAATCTTTCAAATTAGATTGTTTTGGAACTTACCTTCAGATGATTTTGCTAGAAATGTTCCAATCCCAAGATCCCTCAAGATCTTGTAGATTTCTAGGTTCTCCTCTCCAGGTAGTTCATGGTCTGCTCCGTAGAGTAGATCAAACACCTGCTGGACATCTTCAGGTTTATATTCAGGAAGGAGTAGGACAGCTTCGTCAGATTCTGATTCCTAGACATATGTTTACATAAATTTATTTTAAGATTTAGACTAGCCTTAAAGTCAACTTTCAATGCAGTGACCTTATAAAACTAAGAAACTATCGATGATCGCACTAATTGATTTAACGTCGGTGTCTAATCGATGAGATTAGTGTTTTTCCAAATGAAGAAAATGGAATCTGTCAAATAATAGTTTAAATGGGAATGTTAAGTGTAAATCCTTGATGACGTCATCTAACTCGAAAAGGAGTCACATAAACATACAAACTCAATTTTTTAATTCTATAAAAAATACTTTAATTTTTGTACTTCAAAGATATTTTAGAAATACAAAATGTAACTTTATGAAAACTTTAACATGTGTTACCTGGAGAATTGAAGCAAGAAATACACTGGCACCTGCTAGCACAAGCCTAAACATAATTTTCTTATTTCTTTGTTAAGAATTTACAATTAAGTTTCATTTTACTATTTATCTTTATTAACAGTACTTTTTAAGGTATGAAGAATACCTGTGCGAGTTGAGTTTAAATCCAGAACACACAAGCTCCGCGTCAAAATCTCTATTTGTCGAGTATTCTGGTGTATACCGGCGCACCAACTTCATTTCTCTGAAAAATTAAATTTTGTTCCAGAATCATGAAGATTTAATTGGATAACGGAGAATGATCGTCAGATGTCACAAAACTCATCATTCACAAAAAAACCAAGAGCTGAATTCTCTCTAAGGAGACCGGACTTGAAAATGATTTTTCACAAACTTCACATTTATGGAGATTGATTTCACAAGTATGTTTTCTCATATGTCGTTTTAAGTCCCCTTTTTGTTGGTAACACTTGTTACAGATAGAACACTCATCAGGCTTCTCTCCGGTATGGGTCCTCATGTGCTTTGTTAAATTACCAGACTTAACAAAACCTTTCTTACACATAGAACACTTATGAGGCCTCTCGCCTGTATGCAGCATCATGTGTGTGTCTAATGATTGCTTGACTGGAAACTTTTTATCACAGATATTACACTGCAAAGTGTATTCAACATGGTTGTTAATACCCTGCTTAGAGGCAAACACTTACAAACTTCACAGTAGAGGGATTCTTTCTAAAAAAATATTATTATTACCAATACCTTAATCAATTTGTTAAACAAATGATACAATTTGGTTAAATTGCAAGAGTCAAACTCATCCATTAATATAAATTCTAAAGTATTAGAAAATAGTAAGGTTTTTTTTATCAAGGCTTAACATTCGACAAAAGTTTGATTTTAAGTTTCGTTTAAAAAGACAGATACGTAAATATTCGGCTAATGATGTATTCTCAATAAAACCTTATGATTGAATTCATCCAATTATTATTGTCATTTAAAGAGGGATATGCCCCAATTACCAAAGGTTCCCTTTAAACCTTTATCAGACTAATGATGCAGTAGGTAGTGTCGTTTTACTGGCTTTAAAAGTTTTTAATGAATTCAATTCAATCACCTCTATTTACACCTGACTATGGTGGGCACTTATCCCTCCCCCTACATTGTTAACGCCCATAGGCGTTTCCAGGGGGGGGGAGAAATTTGGGCTCAGCAACCCCCCCCCCTGGACAGTGAAATCTATGGTTTTCAGGGAGGGCAATTTTCTAGAGAACGATTTTTGGACCCTCCATCTCCCCCTCCCCCCTCCTATCAATTTTGTACATGGATATAATTGATCATAGCCTGTCCTAGCCATGGCGCTCGACCTCCTAGCCTGTCCTAGCCGCGGCGCTCGGCCCCCTAGCCTGTGCTAGCCGCAGCGCTCGGCCCAGAAATTGTCGGAACCTAACCTAACCCTAAATAAGTGATCATGTACAAAATTGATAGGAGGGGGGTCTCAAAATCGTATACTAGGACGGACCCTCAGGGAGTTTTAAAGTCACAACGGGTGATAAGCCCCCCTGGAAAGAAAAATTTGTAAGCTACCGCCAGACTAATTCCTCAATACGCCCCTGTTTACGCCCCATACATCAGTTGACCCTTCTCTGTTATTTATAAGAGACTTACAAACCAACCTTGTGTGAATATACTGGTCGAAAGCGCCGCCGAATCCTTCTGTCGCCGATACCGACTCTTATTCATTTTTATCCGTCATTCATGCTTTAAAAACGGCAATTCGGATTACAAACTGGAAATGGAATGATAGATCTAACTGTACAAATTAAAGGTTCTCAGTTATACACTCTGTAATAACAATATTAATAAAACTAATAAATAACTAAACGTCGATATGTATTTTAGGACACCAAGCAGTACACAGCAACCTTGGCATGACCTCACAATATCCTTAACAAAATAAGTATTTTTCTCAAAAACTGTTTAAAGATTATTTAAATTTAATTTTAATCCCAGGAATCTTGGTTCTTTGGTTTGTTGTATATAGAATATATGCGCGGAAAGCAAATAACATAACATGTTTGAAATAAATATGTTCAGCTGATTAAGTGTACGCAACGTACTCTATACACTGCTTCATATAAGAAGGGGGGCTTGGCTTTAGGGGGTATAAGATTCATAAGGTCAATAAGGAGAGTCAGAGGCGCAACTAGGGGGGGGCGGCCGGGCGCGCGCCCTCCCCTAGCACCTGAGAGGGGGGGGCGCGCCCCCCCCTGCAGAATGAAAAGAAAGAAAGAATGGCGAAAATCAGTATCACAGGAATTTTGTAGAAATTTTATTATACTATAGTTAGTTTAGTTTAAAAAAAAAAATATTTTTATCTTAAACTTTCTCAATTCTCAAGGCTAAAGGCTATTGTAAACATTTAATGTATTTTATTTGTGTTGAGTTTATAGAGTACAAACTGTACAAATGTACTTAGAATATAAACTATACAGTAGAGTTGAGTGACTATTTGACAAGACAAGACAAACAGAGCCTGCTTCTTAAATCTTTAAGTGATGATTTTTCCAGATCGTAGTAATTTTATCATTTTATTAATTTAAAGAAAAAAAATCATATGTATCTGATTACATTTACGTGCATTAAGTATGTAGTA